GGTAGTGGTAGTGGTAGTGGTGGTGGTAGTAGTAGAAGTAGGAGGAGGAGGAGGAGCAGCAGCAGCAGCAGGAGTAGTAGTAGTAGGAGTACTAGTAGCAGTAGCCCTAGCAGTAGCAGTAGCAGTCACAGCAGCAGTAGCAGCATCTAACTATGTAAGCCACCGGGTAAAACGGAGGTTCATTGCCCACTACCCGAGGTTGAAGTGGACGATGAAGAGCCCGCATGGGGCTGCTCCATGGGACTCGCGGGTGGGGCCGGGAGGTTCTGGTATAGCTCTATGAAAACAGCATATACCACATATATATATATATATTTATATTTATGTATTTATTTATTTGTTTGTAATTGTATTTATTCATATTTGGTTTTACATTTATATTCATATTCATGTTTATATTTTTATTCATATTTATATGTATATTTATATTTATATATTTACATACATACATACATACATACATACAAACGTACGCATGTAAGCATTTATGTATTTGTGTATATGTATATGTATGCGTAATGTTTGTATAAACAAATACATACATGCATGAATGCATTTGTATGTATGTATGTATGCATGCATGCATGCATGCATATATATATATATACATATGTATGCATACACGTGCATAGACATGCTCGTGAATGTGTGTATATATATATATCCTCACATGCAAACATACGTGGATATACATACAGACAGATATGGAGATAGAGATAGATATATAGATATATATTTAGATAAGTACAGATATGGTTGTGTGCCCCCCCCCCTCCCCCTCCCCCTGCACCCCCTCCACCCCCCCATCCCACCCCCGTAAGAGAAGGTCCGTACAGGTTTATGAGTGCGAGTACAAGGTTTCTTCGGCTTTTCATAGGGTCTACAAGGGGTTTTATTTAGAGAGCAGTTATTATATGTTATTATAGGGTTCTATGAGGGCTTCAATAGGGTTTAATAGGGTTTATCTGGGCTTTCCAGGATTGACAAAGGCTTTGTACTTTGTTCTAGTGCGCGCTCGATAGCCTGGGACGGCGGGGTTCAACACAAGGCTTTTTATGAGTAGTACAAGCGGTACCTGTGCTCATTCGCATTCGGAGGGGTTCAAATCAAGCTTCACATGATTGGCACTACCTGTGTAATCTATCAGAAACGAAGTCCAAACCCAGTCCTGTTCCGCAGGGGGGGACGGGCGGCGGGTTCTCCTTCCTCACCTGGGTTCGTGGCACAAACCAGGGGCGATGGGCGAGGGGAAACGAAGTAGAGAAGAGGACACATACCACACACCACAAGGCAGCAGCCTGACACGGGAACAAGGACATATAGCACTTCCATACCAGGACAAAATAACCGCACCTGTTCCACGCAAGCATGGCGGAGTGTAAGTGGTCCATGTGTGTGTGTGTGTTTTGGTCCATGTGTATGTGTGTGTGTGTATATATATATGTACGTATGTATGTATGTATGTATGCATGTATGTACGTATCTATGTGTGTGTGTGCGCTTGTGCATATGTCTACACCGGGCCATACACACACAGGCACATGTGTGTATGAGAGATATGTATGTATGTGTCTCTGTGTGTGTATATGTATACACCGGGCCACACGTACACAGGCACATGTGTGTGTGCGCCCGTATGACCCATTAGAAACGAAGTTCACACGATCATACCACTTTCTTAACAGGACAGCACACACGGTTCCAGAGGCAGAATAAAGGGAAACCCAGTCCTGGGGGGGGGGGGGCCCTGGCATTAAGCCCGCAAGCGTATTGCCGACCATTGCGGAGGGGTAAACAGAAGATGAGTGTGTAATCCGTGCATGTTTCTCACAATGTACGGATTTCTGGAAATCCCCAACATGCACAAATTGAGTGGGGAAAGCCTTCGTGAAATGGGATCATGTTCCAATGTGCAACCATAGGTCCAAGATGCTCCAGGCACAACACCACTAAGATGAATGTAAGCGTTTCCCCTGTCTTAACCCCTTGCTGCTGCCTGTCGAGGTCACAACAAGCGCACCGCTCGCACATGATGGCGAATCACAGCACTGTCATCAATCTCTCCCTCCCTCTCAATCTCTCCCTCCCTCTCCTCGTTCGCCCTCGTTCAATTCTTGTTCGCAAGGTCCTCCAACTTTGCAAGCAAGCCGCAACAGACTCTCCAAACACGATGATGTTGAGAAGCGGGTCAACTTGCAAATGCGCATATGTGGCAAGGGTGGCCTGAAGGCTTCTTCGACCAACTGACAACTTGGAGTACAAGTTCGAGTTCTCTGAATGCAACTCAGACACCACGGGATCTACTGCCGAGATCAGGGCTGCGTAGGTGAATGCTGTGCGTGCCTGTGCTGGTTGCGAAACAGAAAGGCATGTGTAAATGTGTATGTAGGTAGGTATGTATGTACGTACGTATGCATGTACGCATGGTATATTAAAATAGGAGAAGGAAAAGGCTTATGTATATCTGATACCGCAAAGTAGCTTCGCATGATGGCTGAATCACAACTACAGTAGTCAAGCCTGGGGAAGTTCTGACGGGAATAGGCTTCGGAGCATGGAAACTTAACACCTTCCACAAAAGGGATGTACATTCAAGACTACGCGGAATGCCTTCTCCAGAATCTTCAGCCTTGAAGTTTCGATTGGTGCTGAAACTTGCCAATCCTACTGTGAGCGGCTCTGGTTGAAGCAACAAGCATGAAACAAGTGCCGCAAAACAGGTCATGTGAAGGCCATTTTCTGTTGTGAACGGCCCGGCTGCAACAAACAAGCATGCAACCAATGCCGAAGCAGAAAATTTATGTCAGCCAAGGGTTTAACTGTTTCTGGCAGTCCCTCTGTTTCGCAGCCACTCTTTTGCCGTCTGTCATTGAAAACGACTTCCTAGTGTTGTGTTTCAGCTTGTGAAAAAGCCTGAAAATCTAAAGAGTTCAAGACCTTCAGAGCTGCAGCTAAGGAAATAGTTTGACGAACCATTCTCAAGATTTCAAAGAACACCGACGAATCACGTCTTGAACGGCCCTGCTTGCAGGAACAAGCCTGAAGACAAAAAGAACCACGGTACGCAGACAAAAAAGGGGGCGGTTCGACAGCACCAGCTTTTCTGATGCCTTCGGAGCCGGTTTGAATCGGCCGCTAAATGCTTTTGTTCTTGGTACTTCTGAGAATCATGACATGAGGCAGCGCGAAAAAGGACGAAACACCGGACATGCGGAAGGGACAATGCGGCTGAGTCTACCTCGAGAACAAGGGTTCGCCTTCAGAAGCCCGCTCTGGACATGAGTGGGTCATACAAGAAATACTACTTTTGGAGTATGGTAGGGTAGGGCTTATACTCAGGATATTGGCAAGGCTTTGCAGAAATTCTGTGACACTTGGTGTTCCGAATTGTGAATATGTAGAATCAGAAGGACCAGGATCAAGATGGCAGGGGGAAGTTACAGCTTGAAGCAGCAGCGATCGGCAATTGTACACTCGCGCATTGGACAAGTCACATGTGCCTCAGCAACGAAGTGTCTGAAAATGAGCCTCTTGCTCACAATGGCTAGGACGCTCAAATGCGTCAACTTCTGCAGGCAGCTGTTAGGACGGTGGTGGTGATGAAGGCATTGACGTGTGGTGGCTTCGACGGCCATGATGAGGGTTTGCAGTGTGTTTCTACTGTTCTTTCGCAGTCAGTTCGCGGGGTTGAACGATTAGCAATCATAACAAACATAACAATACATACACACTGAATACACATGTTCACATGTCTGGACACGGACACATAACGCTACCGACTTGGAATTTCTCCTTATATTTAGCCACTCAAGTCAAGAGTTCTCAACGCATAACAGAATGTGCTACCCAGGACGATCCCAAACAGAGACTGCTGCTACCTGTATCGTGGAGCGAGCAGACGGAAGCTTCATGCAACAAAGCTGCGCTGCATATCCCATGAATGTGGCAGGTTGAGAGAATGAGACTTCCAACCACTACCATCGAGATGAGCGTGCCCAGCACTGCAAATGTCAGAATTGTTAGCCTCGGCAGTCTGTGCTCTGGAAGATTCCTGCACTGGTCAAACACACCTTTCAAGACTTGCGGTTCAAGTCTCAGCTGGTTGATGAAGTCGCGGTGCATCATGGACCAGCCAGCCTCGAAAATGATCACTGGCAGCAGGAAAAGGTTCAAGAAGGAAGCCATCACCAAGCCCTCCGTCTCGACGTCGACAGTTCCCATCGCCCAACAAAGTATAGACCCATCTGTCGGCAGAACCGTGCCAAGCAGGAAACCCACCAGGATGATAACGCTCGATTCGCTGATGATGCTCACCTGGCACGCGTCATTCATGAAAGAGGGGGGTGTGACGCGCACCACTGGCAAATACTGGGAAGCTCGGAAGGGGAAGAGAGGAAGAGAGAGGAGGGTCCCGACCCGGGCCTCGCAAACGTGGAGGAAGTTGCCGATCAGCAGCGCCAGCATGACGGATGCAGAGCAGCAAACCATCATACCACTCCACTCGTGTACGATACCTTCGGTGCCTTCTTGCTTAACGGCATCCTGCAGCTGCGTTTGTGTCTGCACCCTAGCTACCTGGAAACCAGCCAGTCGACCCTTGTCCTGGATCGTCCTGAACTTTTCGGTATCCGAGTCCCCTTCCGAGACATTCGCTATGCCTATATAGCAGGGCCCAGCATCAGGCATTGGCAGTTCAAAAAGAGTTGCCCGTGCACACGCTTGCAGATGACCTCCCCAAAAGGCGCCTGCCCCCAGTTGCAGAACTAACCCGACGACTAAAGCTAGCCGCAGGCGCGGCGGCGCCATGGCTGGACTTTACACTTTACACGTCTGGCTGAATGCAAACGCTGTATTCACTCTTCTCCTGCGCTTTCCGGGCTTTTTGACACAACATGGGCTACTTAGGCTACTTCGGCTACTCGGTCCATCGCACATTCCACCATGTCGACCTTGTGTCGGTGCTTCGAGCTGCACAGAAAATCTCCGAATCGACTGTACCTTCCGAAAACACTTACAGCATACATCGATCACCAATGCCAATTTTGCCCCATCCCCCATGACATGATATCAAGAGGCACATTCTGCCGAGCTCCCAACTCGAGCTGCAAGTTTCTTCCGACAAGGGGGACTAGCTGTACATCGTCCTTATGCGCACGGAGGTGGCCAGCATGAACCGATGCGATTGCTTTCCCCCACCTTCCGCAGCCCTTCTGTCTTCTCTAGGCCCTCTTGGAGTGCCTGCATAGGGGCATCGCTCCAAGGGGCAGTGGAAGGTTATTTGCAGCTTGGGTTCCTGTGCGTGGAAACTTCTCAGGGCCTCTGCCTCACGTCACACGGAAATCAGGCTGGAACATCTGCGCGTCTTGGGGGCCCCACTGAAACTTCGTAAGCGACCACCCGTAGTACTCTTCCACGGGTGCGAAGCGCCTCGAATAGAAAAGTCAAGCGATTGATGGGAGGTCTTCCGAGCTTGAACATGGCCACCTCTGCGCTGCGCAAGAACTGCCTCAGCCAACTGTGTGATGTCATGATGCCACAGCAGGACACCGAGGTTGCATCACGCACTCCAGGAAGACCACTGTAGATACCGTCCGTCTCCACAGCCGAAGTCCAACACCTGATAACGGTTGGCAACAGTTCATCCAACCTTTGGATTTGCAGTGCTGTCGTGCTACCAACTGTGCTTGGAAACGACCGCACAAGCAAGAGAAATAGTTGCAATTGAGCTAGCCCGCTTGCAATGCGACTGCGGTCGATGTGGCAGCAGCCTCTTCCGGCTGTTGCAACAGTTTGCAGAGCATTGCCGGTATCCAGCACACAGCCTCAAACAGGAAGTCTTCGAAGATCTGCTGCTCAGTGGGCATTACGTCATGAACTGCCTGGCAAAGGAAGTGGCACAGATTGCGACTTGTGCAGCTGCTGGTCTTGATCAAGATGTATCAATACTTGCAGCGTTAAATAGAGAAGATATAGGAGACAGGATGGAATCACGATATTAGCAGCACTGGACGAAGCCTCGACTCCAGTTGCATCTCTCTTGGCAAATGCCTCGGTTTGTGCCTGCCGCAACTTGCAACTCCAGCACAAGTGATAAATCGCAAAAGGCTGATTGCAAACGATCCCGAAGGAAGCGGTTACTTCAAACGTGTTCACGCGGTGCCTTGGCATTGACTGTTTGGCTCGAGGCCTTCGGCAAAAGTGCGGCAGCACATCTCGAAGCACAGGCACACGCGAGAGCAATTACCCCCATGCCGGACCCCATCGGTAGGCTTGGAAATATTTGGTAGATTGCCCGATGATGTAGATGTGAAGACTGGAATCTTGCACATCTCAAAACACCCTAGTGCCAAGGCCACACCAGGTCTCAGAGACAGCTTGAAAAGGAGTCGGAGCCGAGGAGCCGGTGAAGTTCCAAATCGCTCGTCCCAAGCTTGCACCTCGGCTCGGGTCGGGTCTTTTCCTTTGGTCGGGTTCCTGATACCCTGTTCGATGCAGACTATGCTGCTGCATCGCACAACAGCGTCTCCCAAAGCCAGAGTTTAAAAGGCCGTGGCTTGTGCTCGAGCGGCGTCTGCCAGAATCTCCCGGGCAATCGGGAGCGACTGGGCAAAAGCACCGCCGAGGTGGCTGCACGCAAAACATGCGTCGGGATACTGGGTGTCTCACGACAGTCATCAGCGAAGTCGCACATGCAGGCGCACGGCGCTTCTCATTGGAAAAGTACTAGCTGGCTAGTCATCTACAGCTGACGCGCGAAGTCGCAGGCTCAAACTGTAATGCACAGCATGCCTGCAGCTTCACAGTGTCGCCTCCTTTTCTGCTGGCGCTGCGATCCGGCTCCGTGTCGCAGATCCATTGGAGGGTCTGTCACGGCCAGCAACAAAGCCATGTTATCCAACGACAGCAGCAGCTGTAGTCTGACCTCACGGCTCCATTTGCAGCATGCAGGGGACGCTCCTAATCTGCCTGTGGGTGTGGACCCAGTCTAAATCAGGTAAAATAGACTTACCAACATCAGGCACGAGCATCGCAAATGGGCTGGTTCGAAGGGGCATTGGCAAAGTGAGACGTCTCAGCAGCTGTACCAAAGAAGCTCGATGATCAGCTAATATGGAGACAACGGAAGACTCTTAATCTTAAGTCTTAGGTGAAGGCAGGATTTGAACAAGCGGTGCTCGATTGGCAGGCTGCCAGCGAAAGTTACTAAATCTACATCTGCCTTAATGGCACCAGTCTGACATGCCGAGACTGGCCATACCAGGCGAAGCCCACAACGCATTCTGAGCTCTACTGGTGAGATCAGACATTGGAGCAATGCTTTGTCGCTCTGCTGATGGCTCAGACCTGTGGAAGTCGCCGTCAAGACCCCGTCAAGCGAAGCAAGCTCGCCCCAGGCTGCCTCTGAAAATGTGATGTACAGCATGGACCCAATCCAAGCTGTTGGGGCCATGCTGACGGAAACCCGCTGTCATAATCGTGAAGCGACTTGAAGCAAGAATAGGAGCATGCAGTCAAGTCATGGGCGAACTCATGACTCAGGACTCTCTTTGCTCTCCGATTGCGCTTGCACGAAGCTTCTCTAACCTTCAGAGCTTAGTTGGGCTGGCCCGGCGGCGCTGGAAGTCGCAGTGAGAATGCCTGAAGTGCTGGCCTCGGCTGCTAGGAGCAGGAGTAGGAGTAGGAGTAGGAGCATCAGCCACGGGAGAAGTAGTCGTCGTGTCGTCGTCGCATCGAGGGAGGGAGGAAGGAGGGAGGCAGGCAGCAAGCAGGCAGGCAGGAAGGCTAGGCTGGCAGAGGCGAGTGAGTAGCTAGCTAGCTGCTATCTAGTCAGCACGCCCGTAAGAGTGTTTTTAGTAGTGGTTTTTGTTGCTGTTGCTGTGCGGGGGGTGTTTTTTGTGTTGTTGCTGCGGGCGGGTGTCGTCGTTTTTGCTGTTGCGGCGGGGCGGTGTTTTTCTTTTTTTTTTGCGGTGCTGTTGTTCTTATTGTTGCTGCAGGGGGATGTTTTTTAATTGTTGCTGCAGGGTGTTTGCATTTTTTCTGCTGCTGCTGCTGCTGCTGCTGCAGTGGGGTGTTTTTTTTGCTGTTGCTGCTTTTTGCTGTTGCTGCGGGGTGGTGTTTTGTGCTTTTGCTGTCGGTGTTTGTTTGCTGTTGTTGTTTGTTTGGTCGAGTCTTGCTGTGGGGTGTGTTTTTTTTGATGTTGCTGCCGGAGGCTTTATTTTGCTGTTGCTGCCGTTTTTTTGTTCGCTGTTGCTGCTGTTTTTGCTGTTGCTGTTTCTGCGGGGCAGCCCCCCCATTTGCAAACCCAATGAACATATGCGTGACGGGTTCAGAAAGGGTCCGTATGTGCTCGGTTTTTGCTGCCAGGATGAGGTTTGCCCGCCCCATTTGCAAACCCAATGCACGTCTGCATCAGGAGTTCTAAAACGGCCCATCTGGGTTCTGTTTTGGCTGGGAGCATAATGTTTCAAGCGAGCTTGCGCGGCATCAGGGAGGGCTCATCTGGGTTCTGTTTTCGCTGGCAAGATAATGTTTCAAACGAGCTTGCACGGCTTGCCGGGGACCGCCCCGACCATTTGCAGACAAAATGCCTGTATGATGGATATTGAAACTTTGAAAACTTCTACTTAAAGTAAATAATGTGATCGACACAATTCTTCTTGATGGCAGGGTGTTCTTGACAGCAAGCCATGCACGGCATTTAAAAAAAAAAGCAGGGGGGGGTGTTGGGGGTGGGCAGCCCCCCCAATCGCAAACCCAATATACATCGGTATTACGAGTGCTGAAGGGTCCATATGGGCTCTGTTGACAATTTGGCTGGCAAGATCATGTTTGAAGCGAGCTTGCGTGGCTTCAACAAGCGGGGGGCCTTCCTCGCCCCCCCATTTGCAAACAGAAGGCCTGTATCATGGATTTTGAAAAATTCAACACTTCGCCCGTGTGATGGTTTTTGACAATTGAAAACTTCTACACTTATGTGATTGACGCAATTCTTCGTGACGGCGCGATGTTCTTGACAGCAAGCCATGCACGGCACAAAAAGAAAGCGCGGGAGTTCCCCCCCTTTGCAAACCCAATTATCGGCCGCTTGCTGGTTTGCCAGGGCTTCAGCTGCATGAGCAGTCGGGAGGGCAGGGGGGGTGTTGGCTGTTTGGGCCCCCACCGGCCGTTCCACTTGCCGAGGGGGGGGGGTGTTTTTTTTGCTGTTGCTGCCGGGGCGGGTGTTGTTTTAGTTGCTGTTGCTGTTGCTGCGTGGGGGGGGGGGGGTTCTTGCAGTTGCTGCCGGAAAGGTGTTTTTTTTGCTGTTGCTGCGGATGGGGTCAAGCCATTTGGGGGTTCCGGATGACTTATGGGGTGCGCGCAGCAAACCCGGCGCTCACGAACGACCCCCGGCCGGGCATCCGGAAAACAGCAGGTCCGACTACGTTGGATTTGTCTTGACAGTTTTTTTTTGTGGATGGGGTGTTGTTTTGTTGCTGTTTGGGCCCCCAGGCAGTTCACTCACTTGCTGATTTGCCGGGCTTCAGCTGCTGAGCACAACAAAAGCAGCAACACGAAAAAAAAAATAACACACCGTTCCTCAGCACGCCAGCTACATGTGTCGGTCGATCGGGAGGTTGGGTACTCGTTTATGCAACTCGCACAACGACACAACGATCTCTCGATCAAATCCAAGGTGCTGAGGCGGTGTGCTCGGGCCTTAGGAGCCGAAACTTAGCATGACGTCTACATACGTCTACTCTCTCCTGCAACGCGCTGCTTCAGGGACCCGGCTTGGAGGGCTCTGGTCCTGACCTGTCTGCACAGCAAATGATCAAGCAACGTCTCTCTGTATCAGGCACCGGCCGGGCTGCTGGATGCCCGTAGGCGTCAAAGACCCACCAATTGGTGACCTTGCGGTCACCGCAGTGCGAGTCGCTTTCCCGGCACCGAAGCGGCTGAGCTGGTAGCCAAGGCAAAGGTGGGCTGCTCGGAGATGGCCTTGACTAGGTCGGTGATGTGCCACTGGATGCATCCCCGGCAGCAACACATCTGCTGCACTTTGGGGCCGTCACTGTCGAACTTGCGAGGCAGCAGGCGCCTTGCATGCAAGCTAGTCAGCTAGTGCCAAACATCTACTCGCATGGTATCTTTTCATGTTCACCGAAGTGCAAGCTTCATACATGGGCCTCTGCCATCGAAACCATGGCCGCACCAGAAACCTCAAAACCCCAGCAGTTCACGACAGACCTCTGCGTCCAGAAACTTCAACAGCTCCAAGCCAGAAAGAAGCATACCCGAATGATCCGAATGCCGAAACAAGGAAATCGCATATCTTTCAGCTTGCCCGAGCCCTCCGCCGCTTGGCCCTCTGCGGCCGCGGCTCGCGGCCTCCATCTGTTGCACAACGAGCTCAGAAGGCCAGCCCACCTAAACCCTTGAAAAGGCTTCTGAGCTTGCGATCGGTGCTGGAATGGCTTGGGGCCCGGTGGTATCAGCTTTCCACAGGTCGCAGTGCCTTCTGCCTTCTGCGTGCCTTAGACAAGTTATCGCAACTGTCAGCTGCCGGTGTCTCCGCCCGGACTCGGATGGGATCAGCTCAAGGAAGTCTCCGGGAGTCCAATGGCCCGAAGCCCCGAAGCCAGGAGCCTCGGAGTCCTTGGCGAAGCTGGTGATGCCGAGAGCGCCGACGCTCCCCCGCCGCCTTGGCTCAACCTCACAACTCTCCAGGACAAGCCAAAACCAACTAGAACTCTTTCGGCGATCTGCACGGGTTCACAAGCATCCCAACGGGCCGAGGCTGGCAATTTGTCTGGCGAACCCCTAGAGACTGTCAGCTAGGCTTGGCATTACAGACAAGCCGAACTCTACCAATCCCTCGAACATGATCACATGCTTGAAAGTTGTCTGAATGCGTTTGCGTCTGCTAGGGCCCTGACCATGAAATTGCGGGAGTGGCTGCTCCCTGCAGGTGGTCAAGCTATGAGCTCGCTAGAGGGGTCGATCTGCAGCCTGTCCTGCTGCTGTGCTTTCCACGGCGGATCCGGCGTCGTCCAGACCCCTCCGGTCCCCTGCCGGGCGAAGGATGCTTGACCCGAAGCCTTGTGGTCAACATGCATGAAATATCCCGCGGGGGTTTCCGACTCCTCGCGATGCTCTCTCGCTGCAGTGTTGAGAGAGAGAGAGAGAGAGAG